AAAGCCACACGCCTTGAGGCGTTGTGGTCGGGCGTGCTAACTGCAATCTTGCAACGTGCAAGCTGGCAAACCGAGATGCCTAGGGTTTAGGGTTTAGGGTTTAGGGTTTAGGGTTTAGGGTTTATGTTGGGGGGCTGTTGGTTTCTGGGCGAATTCTCTAAATGATGGTCCCTTTTTTTGGGTGCCGGACATAGTACGGCACACTTATACAAAGGACACCAAAAGGGACCCCAGAATGGAGAACTATCCACACCGTACCCTTGGAAGCCCTATAGAAACCGTTATAGATCCCTTTAAGGAACCCAAAAGGGACCCCAGTTTGGAGAACTATCCACATAGTACCCTTAACAACCCCATAGGAACCCTTATAGATCCCTTTAAGGAACCTAAAAGGGACCCCAGTTTGGAGAACTACACTTCTGGCTTTGGGCTTCTCGGGGCTTAAGTCGGATGTGAGGCTCGTTGGCTAACCTCTTCCTGTGCGAGGGTCAGGTCACTGAAACAACCAAAAACAGGCAGGAAATATAGTAGAAAAAAGAGTCATGCGGGGGTTTAGGGCTTAAGGTTTAGGGTTTAGGGTTTACGGTTTAAAGAACAGAATCGAATCGAATGGAATAGAACAGAACAGAATCGAATGGTATAGAAAAGACTAGAATGGAATGCAAGAGATGCAGATGCTCCTCTGGCTGTGTCTCACACCGCACCTCGATGCTGATGAAAGCTTCCTGGCAAGATGATGTGGCATCGGCGTATTCAAATCATCTTCACTGCCTCTTCAATCTTCACTGTCTTAAAAATCAAGGTTCGGGCTTTTCTGGGTTTGGCCTTCAGGGTATCGATGACCAAGCAGGATTCGGCTTCAAGCCTTGGCTAAAGGGTCCTGGCAGGAGCCTGCGAAAAAACTGCAACGGGATTTCTGGCCTCGGAACCGGTTTAGGGTTTCACGGTTTAGGGTTTTGGGTTTTGGTTGAAGGCCCAGAACCCTAAACCCTAAGCCCAGCCTCGCAGCAAAATCAAAAAACAACAGCCAAGGCCTCGGGCTAATGGCCACAGGACAGGGGCGAGGCGTCCCCAGAAACCTAAGAGCCACTGCAAACAAAAACTGCGAAAACCCTTGCGCCAAAAACCTAAACCCTAAACCCCTACAACACTACGGACCTGAACCCCAATGAACTCCTGTATAAGCCTTTAAACCCCCAAAGCCCTACACCCAATGCAACTTGCAAAAACCCTCAAGCGCCCAAAGCCCTGGGCCTCAGCTTTCGGAAGCTACGTCTGAGCCCCTGCCCAGAGACTCCAAAACCCCCCAATGCAGTAAGATGCCTTCAATTAAAGTAAGATTTTTTCAATGGGATGTAAACTTCCTTAACTACCGCTTAACCCTAAACCCTGAACCCCCAACCCCTAAACCCTAAACCCTAACCCCTAAAACCCCAAACCCCTAAAACCCTAAACCCCTAAAACCCCAAACCCCTCAAGCCCTAAAGCCCTAAGCCCTAAAGCCCTAAAACCCTTCAACGCCCAAAACCCCAAACCCGAACCCCTAAACCCCTAAACCCTAAACTCTAAACCTTAAACCCTAAACCCCTAAACCCCTAAATCAAGGTTTTGTTTGGAAGGTCCGGGCTGTTCGCCTTCTTGGGCTCCTCCTTTGCTTTTTTGCTTTCGTCGACGAAGAAGACGCCTCTTTTTGTCTTGGGGTCTAGGGCTTTAGGGCTTTAGGGTTTTAGGGTTTAGGGTTTAGGGTTTTAGGGTTGAGGGTTTAGGGTTTAGGGCTTGATTTTGGGTTTAGGGTTTAGGACTTTAGGATTTAGGGTTGAGGGCTTAGGGAAAAAGGATTTAGGGTTTAGGGTTTAGGGCTTCAGCAAAGTCTGGGGGCCTAGATTTAGGGTAGAGGGTCTCGCGACTGGTTCAGGGTATAGGGTTTAGGGTTTAGGGCTTTGAGATTGGGGTTCAGGTTCAGAGTGCAGGGTTTGAGGGCTCAGGATCGAGGCTGCAAGGTTCAGGGTTCAACGCAAGACCTTCACGGATTGTGGATGGTGTTCGACTGCTTGTGGGTTGTTATTAGTCTTCTGCTTCCAGCCTGTCTCGGTTTTTGCTTTATTGCCGGGCCGCACTCCCCAGGCAACAGCTAGGTAGGCCTTCGGGGCATGTCTGTACGATCCCTTTAATTGCGCGTAACAGGATCTTATTCACGAGCTCATGGTCTTTACATTGGGACCCTAAACCCTAAACCCCTAAACCCCGAAACCCCTAGGAAACAGTGCAGACTCAGACGCCATGGAAGTCATGGGAATAGCCGCTCTACCGAGGACTTCCAAACCTACACCGGGCTGGGGGCCTGGCGAGCCTTGATATTCGGGTTTAGGGTTTAGGGTTTAGGGTTTAGGGTTTAGGGTTTAGGGTTTAAGGCTTTAGGGTTTAAGGGTTTTAGGGTTTAAGGTTTCGGGTTTAGGGTTTAGGGGCTGTGTCACAATTTTGTCGGTCTAGCTTGCTGGACTAGGATGCTTTTCCGCTCTAGTGGTGAGATTGACGTACGGCCGCGCAAGCACCGGCCCTAAACCCTAAACCCTAAACCCTAAACCCTAAACCCTAAACCGCGGGCAGCTTGAAAGCCAGGAGTTCGAAGTTTTGGGGCTTGGAAGTCTCGGATCCTGCAGCTGCAACAGAAACTCTACTGCCGAAACGAAGCCATAACTGGAAGCCTCTTGAAGCCGACCCTAAACCCGTCTTTTCCAACCTTCAAACTTCATAGCAGATGTTTTATGACCTGTGGGAGGTCTTTATAGCTTGCTCTTGGAAGTGTGGGAATACAACTGGGAATACAGCTAGCGACAACCTCTAATCTCAGACTTCCGGCGCTGACAGATCAGAACCATGACCGAGTTTTGTGTGCTCTGTCTCTGCGCGCGTGATTCGCGAAGCTTCTACCGACATCCCTAACCCCTTAGGCTCCAACACCAAACCCTGAAACACGAACACCCCTTACTCCCTTCTCATAGCTTGCGGGGCCTATTGGATCGCCGTCCTTGTCCAGCTTTCGACCGTGCTCATCCACCTGTCAAGCAATACAATCCAACAAAAAAATCCAAAAAATATATCTCTATGATAGACCCCACAGCACTCCAAATATAACATAATGCAAAATGCAGTACATCTTATACTATAGTATAATACAGCGTATTATAACGTTATGCAATAGAACGCAATGTAAACATATCATATCCATATCATTGCATAACCATCTCACAGCATACGATGTCATGTCATATCATATCAGAGAATTTCAGATAATATCATACACATCTTAGCACATCACCTTATGTCTTATTTCAGCATACCATGATCTCATATAAAGCGCAAATAGCCCACAAACAATATGATGTAGTATACTATGATGTCACAAATACCATATCACGGAGCATGATATCATGTAATATAACATATGACATCATATAACCTGATACAGTATGAAGTAGTACCATATCATATATAGTAGAATATGCTAGTTTGATATAATATCATTTGATCGGATGTAACATAAAAACCACATGATATCATGGAGTAGAACATGATGAAAAAATGTTGCAACAAAACATAACATGACATAACATAACATAACATGATATAAGTATATTAGATTAAAGCGTCACATCATATCATATGTTTGGGCAGTATATAGTATTAATGTCATATGATGCTGTACTATGTCGTAGTTTGTAATGAAACATAACATAACATGACATAATATAAGATAACATAACACAACATAGCATAGCACAATAGCAAGTAATATCATATGACAGAAAAATAGAACAGACTAGAATACATTAGATGCTATACTACATTAGGCTATAATATAACCTGGTATAGCATGAGATAATGTAGTATAATATACTGAAACAAACGAAAAACATAACACTGCACACCAGAATACACTGTGGTCTTGCACAGTATACTGTGGTAGGATATAACACCAAGCAGTACAATATGACAGAATACACTATCATGTGAAAGTTAGCTTAACGCAACATCAAACATATAACGCACTTTTGAATAACAGAATATAGAAAGGAACAAAGTAGAATAGAGTTGCTGCACGGTATACTATAACATACTATGACACAATATAACAAAATATGAAGAAGTAGAATACAATGAAATAGAAACTAGCAGACTATAATAGCCTACACTATATCTTGCACGGCAGAAATTTGGTCTTTAAGGTTTAGAATTTTAGGGTTACAGTGCTCTGAGGCTTGATTGCAGGGCTTCAGCATCTTTAGACGCAAACCCTAAAGCCCTCAACCCCCCAGAGAACCCAATACCCCTTAATTAAGGAATGTACCTCAAAATTACAGGGTCCTTGATATGATGATTTAAGGTCTATTCCTGAGTTAAGGGGCATTGGGTTCTCTGGGCCTAAACCCTAAACTCCAGGCCCTAAAACCTCAACCCGAAACCCAAAATAAAATCCTAAACCCTAAACCCTAAACGCTCAACCCTAAAACCCTAAACCCTAAACCCTAAACCCTAAACGCCCAACCCTAAAACCCTAAAACCCTAAACCCTAAACTCCAAATGTCAGGGTTTGGCGACCATAAGTCGTCCAAGATCGCCGCTTCGGCGCTTTTCCCCCGCAGCTTCTCGATACCACACATCCCCAGAGAACCCAATACCCCTTAATTAAGGAATATACCTTAAATCAGGGTTTAGGGTTTAGGATTTTATTTTGGGTTTAGGGTTGAGGCTAAACCTGGAGTTTAGGGTTTAGGCCCAGAGAGCCCAATACCCCTTAATTAAGGAATAGACCTTAAAACATAATATGAAGGACCTTGTAATTTAAGGTACATTCCTTAACTAAGGGGTATTGGGTGTTTCTGGATCGGAAGGCAGAACCGCTTGGCCTTTGCAATGAAGGCCTAAGTCTTCGGATTTAGGGTTTAGGAAACCCTAAACCCGAAACCCTAAACCCCAACAACCCTATAGATCCCTTTAAAGGAACCCTTATAGTACCCATTTAAGGGAACCCTTATAGAAACCCTGTAGCCATAAGCTTCCATTAGGATTCAGAGGTTGGACTTTAGGGCTCAGTGCGGAAGTCGCAGTTTCTCCTCATGCTTCGACCTGAAACGTCCCGAACAAACGACGAAAAGGGGTTTAGGGTTTGGGGGTTTAAGGTTTAGGGGTTTAGGGTTTACGGGTTTCGGGGTTTAGGGTTTAGGGTTTGGGGCTTTAGATTTCAGGGTTTAGTTCCCTAACCTGCGCAAAGCCCGACGAGTAACAGAAGCCACACACTCGAAGCCTAAACTGCAAACCTGAAATCCGAAACCTTAAGCCCCGCACCCTAAAACCTGCACCCCTAAGCTTAGGGTTTAGGGTTTAGGGTTTAGGGTTTAGGGTTTAGGGTTTAGGGTCTAAACACCCCCCAGCCCCCCGTCCCCCAGCACCCTTTGCAGCGACACGGTCTCGGGAAGCTCGGGAAGGACGTGCTGCTCGTGGACGACCCACGGTGGGGGTGGCCTCCCAAGGAGGTTTGGGCTTTAGGTTTTTTGGGTTTGGGGTTTAGGGTTGACGGGTTGGGGTGTCCTAAACCCTGAAACTTACTCCCTGCGGCCGACGAGTTCTTGGGCGTTGTCCACGTGTTCTCTGAAGTTTTCTTCTGAGTTTCTGGTTTGAGCTGCAGGGTTTGCTTGCAAAGCCTGCACTCTATACCCTTAACCCTTTGCCCTTCACCCCAAACGGCTGGGGTTTCAAAAACCTACGGGTACCATCTTCATAAGGCCTTCGACCGCCTGGCATTCCCAACACTCGCTGCCGCTTACCCCTGAAGAAGGAAACGAAGTAATCCAATCTGGATTCTCTCCCAAACCCTGAGCGCTAAACCCTCGACCGTCAACAAAAACCCAAACCCTAAATAAACCCTTTAATAAACCCTTAACCCCTATATAAACCCTTACCGCCTACCCTGGAAGCCCTAAGCAAGGCGCCCCTAGATTTCAAGAGATGGCCTCCTAAACCCTAAAAACCTAAACATCCCTAAGCACTTACAGAACCCCTTATGGATCCCTTCAAAGGATCCCTTTAAAGGAACCC